CCGACAACACGAGGTATATCCTTGTGCGTCGGCACCCCTTTCCGAGTTACTTAATATCATGCGATACCATGCCGGTGATTCATTGCTCGTTACGCGTTCTTCGACACCTGCCTAGGCGCGGGCAACCGGATTTCAAAGGATCCCAGCGAAGCTGCAGCAGTGCAACGCCGTTGTTAAAGAGGAGAAGTCGATGAACTGCCCGTCGAACGGCTCTACAACCCGACGATTTTAAATTCGATTCACGCGATGGAATTTTATATTTCATTTCCACCGTCTGACGAACGACTTCGAATAGATTACCAGACTCGAGTTGGTTCGAGCGGTTATTTATGCGATCGAGCGTATCGCACAGTGTGGCTTAAAAGCAGCGCAACACGATCTCCATACTGGGAAAAATGTAATATAGCTGTAAAGAATGATAAAACTCTATACGGTGTTCAATGGAAACAGTGACCCGTAATAGATAACAACGTGGCGTAATTATTGCACACGTAAGCATCTGAAAGGCACAGCAAATTGATTCCTCGATCTCAGATACGCCATCAATGTTCGATTTTTCAGAAACGAATGACTCGTGATCTTTTCGTAATTCCATAGATAATACCGCCCCATCTCTAAACTAAATTTCATTTCGAAGCTGCTTAATTTACGAACTTCGTCGATGTAGCTTCTGCAGAGATTAATACGCGTTACCGTAGTATTTGTTCCGCTTTTTCGCACTCTATCGTTCGACACACACAGGATGTACTTGAGACGTAAACAATCTACGAATCTCTTCTCCACCCTCCACGCAATCCTGTCCCCTAACGCGAAATCAATTTCCTCGAGACACGCGTCGACCGACCAAACATCGTAATTAAAAACGTCCCGTTGCCATGTGCGACACTCCTCGTATACATTTTTTCAGCGAAGCTGGTTTAGTAGAGTCTCGTAAGTTGGAGCAGCAACGCGACAGGCTAAGGAAGGTGGAGTCAGCCGGGACCGTACGCACAGATCCTCCTCGGAAGGGAGGCTCGTTCGCGACTGCGTTTCATCGCTATATTTCATTTCCAGGTCCTGTGAACAAAGCGGTATCGAGAGAAAGGGTATCGGTTACCTCATGAGCCCCTTCACGTATCTCGAGTACTCTTTTCAACGCCTTCCACGATCCCTCCCGCTCAAAATCCTCTTCTCTTTTCTTTGCCTTCTCTCTTAGCCTCTCTCCTTCGTCTTTTCTTCGTCTTTCTCCTTGCCGCGAGTCTTCCTGCCGTTCGCCACCGACAATCCGGCATCTTTCGCTGTCTTCCTTGCACGGCTCCTCGCCACGGCAACCCGGCTGGTACGTTGCTTCTTTTCAGCGCGCATAATACGCTCCTTTAGCTCCCTAATGAGCGGCAATTACGGTGTCTCTACGACTAACGATCAGTGACGATCGATGATCCCTCTCGCGGAGGGAGAGCACGCCCTCCGTGAACCGGTGGTCATTTGTTCGCGGGGAACAAAACAAAGGAAACTGGAAGGAGCGTGTAACGCGTTGTTGAATGAACCGATGAGGTCGCACGTGTGTGATCATCGTCCTCCGTTGGCCCGGCAAACGACGTAGGACGATGGATCGAAGGCGTGAGCGATGACCGATCACGATCCCAACGTCGGACGGATGAACATAGGAGAGTAGGTGAAACAAAGGGAAACCTGACTCGTCTCGAGCTTTCGTATAATCTTGTCAGGGAAAGGATCGCGTTCTCGCGTATTACGTTAGAGACCGACGTTGTGGAATCACAAAGGAAGTAGCGGCCTACGGTGCACCGGAGTAATTGAATTAGTTTCAGGACGTTGGAAGCGCGTCTTATCGCCGTCGATCGTGAATTAAATGCCAAAAATTACAAAAGCGTAATTATTTTGGAGTTGCATGCGAAGAATGGAAAATCATGTAGATTAGTTGGTTTCGTGAGAATGACGCGAGTCACATTACGTAGAAGCCAAGTTGATTATCTCTATCGAGCACGACCGTTTGACTTTAGAAATGTTAAACAATCAACGTTGTACGATCCGATGTCCGCGAGACGGTCGCTGAAATTCGCCGAGACGCGTCGTTTTTGACATTCGATTATTT